TTGTACTAATCCAAGATTAAACTTGTCCAGAACACTTGGAGTCACTCCATCTTTTGTGTAAAGTCTTATAGTACATATGACCATAAATTGTCTGAATTTTAAACAAAAGGATCTGTTAGTTAGCATCATGCTTGAGCCTTAGTTCAGTAATAAGTGGAATGGGTGCTGCCCACAGAATCTCTTCCATAAATGTTACTGTTTCTGATTTGTTAAGCTTCATTTGTAGAGTTGAGTCATGTGACTCAGAACTTTGTTGGACTTGCTTAATTTGACTTATTTTTTTTCAGTCGCCTGTCATGGTTAGATAAGTCTGGATTGGGTTTCTCCTTGGACTATCCTGCTATAAGTTTACATGCTATCTCCAGGGACCTAAATGCCTATCCATGGGAACACTTGTATGTCATGGTGAATGCCAAATTTGAAGGTATGGTATGTTAATATAGTTATGAACTTTTCTTCCTCCCTCTTCTAGTTCAGTAAGCAATTGAAATAAAAATAGTTTCCATATTGGGGTAATTTGTCACTTGACCTGTCAATTGTGAACAGCCTGGAACTTGGGATTAAAAAGCACCAGGCTTTGTCCTTTTTATTTCAAACTCTATCCATTATTTTCCTTTTCTCAAAGACTGTGCCTCTCCCATAATCATTGATATTCTAGTCACTTTTACTATTAACTTTTTCTAACCTGTCTCTTGGCCTTTTAAAATGTGCATCGGGAATATTCTTATAAAATTTCACTTTTTAATTATTTCTACCCTTCTGGTCCTATTTTAAAAGAATAAAAAAGTACTTACATGCTCCTTTGATATTTGTGTTCATGTCCCTTTCTCTCAACTGCTTCCTCTTACTCTACTCCCTCCTTTTCTGTGTGTTGCAAATGGGTGTTTGCATGTCTGCATTTTGAAACTATGCTGGAAGCCTTCATTAAAGATTCTTGTGAAATTTTTGTAGGTACATAGGAGGAGCTCATGTTATGAGGTTTATCACTAAATCGTTAAGGCTGTCCCACAAAGGTTTTTAAACTAAATTATTTTTATGGTCATTCTTGTTTCTTCATGATGTAGAAAGGAGACCTGAAAGGTGTTTTTTTGTTTTTGTTTCAGTTTACTTTTTTTAAAACACTGTTTGAAATATCAGGTTTGATAAGTCTGTCCCTTTGGAAGTGCTTTTGGGGTTTTTGGAGCTCTTATACAGTGAACTTCTGCTGAAAGGGAAGGGAGTTGAATTCTTTAACAAATCTCTTTTCTCCATAATACACATTGTCCACTGCAGTTAAATTAAGTGTTCAAAAAGGCAAACTAAAAGGTAAGTTTTAAATAGGATGACTAAATATTTCTCTTATTTCCCTGTTCTCCAATCACTCACTTCAACTTTCGAACTATTAAGTTATGACATTACAATCTTTTACTAGTAATAAATACTCTATTTAATGGTCTTACAGGTTAGATGAAACACCGATTTCTTCTTATAAAATGTTTTTGGGCTTATTCTTTTATGCTATTTTTATAAATCTTAAGAAAGCAAAGTATCCCAGCTTTGTTAATGTCAGTTTATGGTATATTGTAAAGAGCCTGTTGCTTGTTAATATTAGAAGATGTCATTCGAACCTTGCTCAGATAGTGAGGGAGAAATGGACAATGTATGTATTTTTATTCCAGTTCCATAAGAAGGGCCTACAAAATTCACAGTCCCTTTCATACTCCTAGAATTTTAAAAATTGTAAATTTCATGACTTCAGCTGTTTAAATCTGAAATTTCATGGTGTTGTAAGTGTAGGGTTCCAGACCCAAGTTGTGGGTAGAGGGGTTTTAAGATTATTGTAGGGGAGGTTGTGGTACTGCTACTCTACGAAGTGGTGGTGGCAATGACTTCTGAGCTGGGCAGGTGACTGCTGCTTGCCAGGACTGCAGCTCTGAGGGCAGAGCCGCTGCCAGCAGCAGCATAGAAATAATGATGACATGGTATGGTATTGCTGCTCTGTAAAGGCTTATAATTGGAAATTATGCATCTAGAGACAAAATTATGTTTTGAATACAGTTTTTTTTTTTTTAAATTTTTAATTGTAGCTAGGACAGTTCTGATCTTATATGTGGTCTTAGTCATTTAATTGGGCCTACCTATACTACAAATAAAACTAAGGCAAAGGATCCCAATTACAGTGCTATTTCAGGTTATTATGGTGATTGATGTACACATTCCTAAGGCAGTTCAGACAAGGGCCTTAGCTATGCTTTGCCTGTGTTCTTTATGTGACTTAGAACCTGGGTATGGTACTACTATCATTTTGGGACCAGGTTCCTGGCTTATAGGTAATATGTATGTGCATTGAAGGAACAAATGGTCCTGAATTTGGAGAAGTGCAAACATTTAGATTTCTTTTAAACACTTGAATTCCTTAGAGGAAGAGCCGAAAGAAGCTCCCATGGCTGAAGAGGAAGAAGGGGAAGACAGCGATGATGATATAGAACCAATTGCAGAATTCAGATTTGTACCCAGCGACAAATCAGCCTGTAAGTAAAGAAATAAGGTGATGGTATAGCTCTTTTTGGTAAGAGGCTCAAAGCTCTATATGAACAATTAAGATTCTTGCATATAGGGGAGTTGAGGCACAGAGAGGTCAAATGATGCAACTCCCACTGCTGTTGGGTAACTACTAGACTTCTGCCTTCCTAGAAAAATTGTTAATTAGTACCAATTTGTCAGTCTTAGTATTTCAGTTACGGTTGGGGTGTTTTGGGCAGCAAGTTTTTAATTAAAATTCAAGTACAGTTGCAGTATGTAGCTGATACAATATGGGTAGTCTTAAAAATGTTATCTGCTGAATAATATTTCTGAGAATAACCAGGCTACATGTCTGCAACTCCTTATTCATCTACAATAGGGGTGAGGAAAATAATGCCTGGGGGCCAGATGTGGCCCCTGGGTTGCTTAGATCTGGCCCCAAGGATGAGGGGCTCCCCCAGCATTGGGGAGCCACACTAGCACTCCAGTCTCCCTGCAGTTCCCGGCCTCGGACTGATTTTTATGTGGGTCATCGGCCCCATACCTTAAAAAGGTCCCCACCCCAATCTACAGTGCTGTTCACTTATGTAGTAAATGTGTGCATAAACTTCCGTTAGTTTAATCTGTTATGACAGCCTCTCCATATCTCTAACTTTCATTGCCCCCATTTCTGAACTTTTTCTAGTTCCTCTCTCTTTTGAGATTTGGTGATCGGACCAGAACACGGTATTCTAGATGTGCCCTTGATCTATGGTGTAATTTCAGTATTTTTCTCATTTCTTATGTGTCTCAACACTGTTTGTTTTTTGACTGCTGCTAATAGGGATTAAAAGTTTCGTAGGGGTGAACCCTAGGCTTTCATTTTTGGTATTTACAGTGAGTCTAAACCCAGCAATGGATGAGTTCAGGAATGGTATACTGTATGCCTATTCTCTTATTTGTGTTGTGTGTCTCTGGTATTCTCTTTCATTGTCAGTCTTGACTAAAGAGAATTTTGTGTTGAATGCAAATTTTTTTCTCCTCCATCTAACTTAAAATTATTCAAAAATATATGAACCTCACAATTCTGGCAATTGTTCTTGAGGCATCCCGCCTTGAGGCATCCTACTGTTAACTTTTTACCATGCTGAAAATTCTTTTTTTCTTTTCTCCGATCTTCTCTCCCATCCTGAAACCTTGTGAGTGCTGTCATGGTGCATTTCAGTGGAAGAGTTCTGTTACTCTGTCCTTTCAGCACTCACAAATGCTGCCCTGTATATGATGAAGACCCCTCTCAGTCTGTAGATTTGTATTTATTAGGAATGTTAACAGCTAACCATCTAACCGATAAGCGATTGCTTATCGAGATTTAGGAGTCATTGTGAATAGTTCTCTGAAGACGTCCATGCAGTGTGCAGTGGCAGTCAAAAAAGCAAACAGGATGTTAGGAATAATTAAAAAAAGGGATAGAAAATAAGACAGAGAATATTTTATTGCCCTTATATAAATCTGGAATACTGCGTACTGATGTGGTCTCCTCATCTCAAAGAAGATATACTGGCATTAGAAGAGGTTCAGAGAAGGGCAACTAAAATGATTAGGGGTTTGAAACAGGTCCCATATGAGGAGAGATTAAAGAGCCTGGGACTAAGAGGGGATATGATAGAGGTATATAAAATCATGAGTGGTGTGGAGAAAGTGAATAAGGAAAAGTTATTTACTTGTTCCCATAATATAAGAACTAGTAGGGGCCACCAAATGAAATTAATGGGCAGCAGGTTTAAAACAAATAAAAGGAAGTTCTTCACACAGTGCATAGTCAATCTGTGGAACTCCTTGCCTGAGGAGGCTGTGAAGGCTAGGACTATAACAGGGTTTAAAAGAGAACTAGATAAATTCATGGAGGTTAGGTCCATCAATGGCTGTTAGCCCGGATGGATAAGGAATGGTGCCCCCAGCCTCTGTTTGTCAGAGGGTGGAGATGGATGGCAAGAGAGGGATTGCTTGATCATTGCTTGTTCGATTCACTCCCTCTGGGGCACCTGGCATTGGCCACTGTTGGCAGACAGGGTACTGGGCTGGATGGACCTTTGGTCTGACCCAGTATGGCTGTTCTTTTGTTCTTCTTTTGTTAACAGTCCCAGTTAACTGCAACACACCTCCACACCCACGTCCTCTGCATTTTAAACTCAGACCAGCAGACGGGCTCACTCCCAGCTTGCTCCTATGACATTTAAATGAAGAACACACCAGGGAGCCACCTGCCACTCTGCGCTGCTGCTTCTGATGCAGAGGCAGGGTGGCATGTGGGAGCTGGTTTAAAAACCGACTTCTGGCTGCTGCCCCTGTTGGTGGGGGGCCTCAGCTCCCCATGTACAGAAGCTGCTCCAGCATCCCACAGAACAGCCTCTGTTGGCAGGGAGCTTGGGCCCCTGTGGACAGGGGCTGCTGCTGTGGGGCATCTTCTGTCTGTGAAGACTGAGAGGGGACATGATAGCGGTTTTCAAGTATCTAAAGGGTGTTACAAGGAGGGAGATGAATTGTTCCCCTTAACCTCTAAGGATAGGACAAGAAGCATCCACACCCACGTCCTCTGCATTTTAAACTCAGACCAGCAGACGGGCTCACTCCCAGCTTGCTCCTATGACATTTAAATGAAGAACACACCAGGGAGCCACCTGCCACTCTGCGCTGCTGCTTCTGATGCAGAGGCAGGGTGGCATGTGGGAGCTGGTTTAAAAACCGACTTCTGGCTGCTGCCCCTGTTGGTGGGGGGCCTCAGCTCCCCATGTACAGAAGCTGCTCCAGCATCCCACAGAACAGCCTCTGTTGGCAGGGAGCTTGGGCCCCTGTGGACAGGGGCTGCTGCTGTGGGGCATCTTCTGTCTGTGAAGACTGAGAGGGGACATGATAGCGGTTTTCAAGTATCTAAAGGGTGTTACAAGGAGGGAGATGAATTGTTCCCCTTAACCTCTAAGGATAGGACAAGAAGCAATGGGCTTAAGTTGTAGCAAGGGAGGTTTAGGTTGGACATTAGGAAAAACTTCCTGCCTGTCAGGGTGGTTAAACACTGGAATAAATTGCCTAGGGAGGTTGTGGAATCTCCATCACTGGAGATATTGAAGAGCAGGTTGGATAGATGCCTATTAGGGATGATCTAGATCAGTGGTGGCCAACCCATGGCTCGCGAGCCGCATAAATTGTGGCTCCTGACGGAACCCGGAACCGCTCAGGTTAGCTGCTCTCACAGCTGGCTGCTCTGAGCCGCATGTGTGCTCATGGCCCAGACTGTTCAGCTCCCGTCCCCCAGTGCACAGTGTCATATCCTGCACGTGCTAGCAGCTGGCCGCTGAGCACAGGTAGCGGCTCTGGGAGTGGCAAGGGCACTGGGTGCAGCGGCAGTGGTGAGGGCTCCGGGTGCAGCGGGCGTGGGTCCGGGACTTGGGCGTAAGGTTGGGGTGCGGGAGAACCTGGCTTTGGAGAAGAGGAGGGCAGGGGGATCGGGCGGCAGGGGGAGGGAAGTGCTCCTGGCATTCCAGATGCACGTGGTGGTAGCGGCAATGGTTCTGGCTCCAGGACCTGGGCATAAGGTTTGGGGGAGGGGAATTGGATTAGAGTGGGGAGGGCAGGTGTCTGTCTCTGGGGGAGGGGAGAGGGATTGGGTTAGAGTGGGGATGGGCATTGTCTGGCTCTAGGGGAGGGGAATTGGATTAGAGCTGGGAGGGGGTGCCTGGCTCTGAGGGAGGAGAGGGGATGGGGATTGGATTGTGAGGGGGGGAGTAGGAATCCTAGTACTGCATGCCAGCTCAACTTCTCAGGAAGCACGCAGTTGACATGGGGAGCAGACGAAGAGCACGCGCTTCCTGAGAAGTTGGAGTTGGCATGCAGTCCTGGGTCTCCTACTCACTCACTCTGTGCAGGCAGGCAGCAGGGGGAAGGAAGTCCCTGGCTGAGCGACAAACCCAGTGTTTCAGGGAGCGTGACAGCTGTTTATGGAAGGGGAGGGGAAGAGCAGCCCGTGTGTTTCCTTAGACCCGGGATCCCCAGGTACCAGCCAAGCTGTCCCTGTCTCCTCCCCTCCCCCACCAGCACTCTGCCCCAGCACTCTGTCCTCTGCCCTCACCAGCACAGTTGGGTCCACATGAGTGAGGCTTGGGGTTTTTTGGAGGGGTTGTTTTTTATCTCACTTTTGTGGCCCCAACTGACTTTTCTGTGGGTCAGTGACCCCTGACTCAAAACAGGTTCCCCGCCCCTCTCATAAATAAAGACAATGCTGAAACATTTTGCGTTTGACATAATATTTTATTTAAAAATGAAGCCTGGCCAACAAGCCCCCAATTGGGACCAAGCTCCCATCTGGCTGTAGCATCATAACACTCCTGCATCTTCCCAGACCCCAAACCTGAGCCTATCACACACTGGAAACCCCTGTCCTGAGCCTCTCTCATCCCCAAACACCTGCACCCCGACATTCCCAGTCTTCTGCCACAACACTCCTGCACCATTCACAGACTGCAAATCTGTGTCCTGAGCCCCTCATACACCCAGCCCAAGCTCCTGTACCCTCACAGCCACAAGCCTTCTCAGCACTCCAATACTGTCCAGCCTGGAGCCCCCTCCCTGGGACGGCGTACGAGCACCCATTATCCCACGGTGTGGCGCTGCCTGTTTTTTTTTTTTTTTTTTTAATGTGCTCAACAACTGTCCCCACCCCTACTCCCTCCCACCCCGTACATGGCTCTTTGCATTCTGTCCACCGCTGTTTTGGCTGTTCATCTCTTAACGGGTTGGCCATCCCGATCTAAATGGTGCTTGGTCCTGCCCTGAGGGCAGGGGACTGGACTTGATCTCTTGAGGTCCCTTTCAGTTCTACTGTTCTATGGATTGTCATAGCAGCATCTGTCTGCAGGGAGCTTGAGCTGTATCAGAAGCAGCAGCTCAGGGTGGCACGTGGGAGCTGGTCTGCGTGGGGAGCCGATTTTTAAACCGACTCTGGTTTAAAAACCAGAGACAGCAGTGCAAGGTGTCGGGGGGTTCCCTGGGAACGGGACCAGGAACACCGCTACGAATTGTTGCGACTACACGATTACTAAAATAAGAGAGCTAACATCATTAGTATGTATTATTCATATTTTTTCAGGGGCAAGTATTTAGTGTTTGGCTAAAACAAGTATATTTGCCACATCCTAGCTAATGTAGATCGGCTCTGATTGGTTTTGGGGAAGTTCTGTAATCTGTGTTATGCAAGAGGTCAGACTACATGATGGTCCCTTCTGGCCTTGGAATCGATGAATCTGTCTATAGAGCTGTTTTGTCTGTTTGCCAATGAGAGAATGTGTGACTTGGTTTTGCAGTGGAAGCTATGTTTTCAGCAATGTGTGAATGCCAAGCCCTACATCCAGATCCTGAAGATGAAGATTCAGACAATGATTATGAAGGGGAGGAGTATGACGTGGAGGCCCATGGTTAGTAATTTGCTACCATTTAAATATTTACAAACTTTGGTGTACCAGCAGCCTCTCTTAGAAAGCCCTTTTATTGTAAATGTGTATTTTTAAAAATAGAAAGTTCCTTGGCTGTTACTGGTATCCTCTAAATTTAAAAAAATAGAATAGTCTCTTATATTGTACGTTAGTAGTGTAGAAGCTTAGAAATGATTAGAAAATTACTAATTAGCCTGCAAAGTGTTAGCTGGAGTTCAGCAAAAAGCCTTGTTTGTATTTACAAAATCATCAAGGTATTAACTGACCACAACTTTCCCCCTTCCAAGACAACAAGCTAATGTGATTTTTTTTTTAACATCTCTACAGCTTGGTCACTTTGTTTAATACAGCATAGGGGATTGTTAGCTTACACACCCTCTTACACACTAGCCTTCTTTACCGTAACCCTGTAGAGACTTTTTCTGATTCAGATTCTTCCTGCTTCCAGAGGTATGATCTGCAGCTTTCTTAGCTAGAGGATGATGCAATGAAAGCTTGTTCTACCTGGCAATAACTGCTATATGATTCCAGTTATGCTCTTAAAGTGTCTATGTAAAAGGCCCTGATTCAACAATGTGCTTGAGCAAATGCTTTATTGTAAGCATATCCTTGACAAGTGTCTGTCCAACCCATTCTTAAAAACCTTTAATGATGGTGTTCCCTTGGAAGCCTATTCCAGAGCTTACCTACTTGTATTGTTAGAAGGTTTTTCCTGATGTCTAACCTAAATCTTGCTTGCTGCAGATTAAGCCCATTACTTGTTCTATCTGCAGTGAACACAGAACAATTAATCACCATCCCATTTATATTACCGCCTTTCATATATTTGAAAACTGTTATGAAGTCACCCCTCAGTCTTCTTTTCTCAAGAATAAATGTGCCTAGTTCTTTTTTTTTTTTTTTTTTTTTTTTTCATAGGTTGGGTTTTCTAAACCCTTTTTAGTGCTCTCCTCTGGACTTTCTCCTCTTTGTCCTTGTTTCCTAAAGCATGGTTCCCGAGTAGAGGAGGGCATTTATCTTCTGTGTCTTACATACAGCACTCCTGATAATACATTTCAAAATATTAGCCTTTTTCACAACTGCATCATATTGATAACTCCTTCTCAGTTTGTGATCCACTGTAATCCCCAGATGCTTTTCAGTAGTACTGTCACCTAGCCAGTTGTTGTTAATTTTTAGTTGTGCATTTGATTTTTTTCCATCTTATGTGAAGTACTTTGCACTTTTATCGAATTTCATCTTATTGAATTCAGATCATTTCTCTGATTTATTTTTTCAAGGTTGTTCTGAATTTTAATTCTGTCCTTCCAAGTGCTTGCAGCCCTTCCCACTTAGTCATCCTGATTCTATAGGAATAACCCTCACTCCATTCTCCAAGACACTAATAAAAATATTAATAGTACCAGACCCAAGACTGACCCGTTTGGGAACACTCTAAATACATCTTCACAGTTTGACAGCAAACCACTGATAACTATTTTTTTGAGTGTGATCTTTTAACCAGCTGTGCACCCACTTTATAGCAATTTTATCTAGATTATATTTCCATCTTTTGCTTCCCCCATATTCTAGACCAGTAAATGCTGTCAAAGATGGAAATTGGATTAGTTTGGCATGATTTGTCTCACCTGTCCCATCTTCTTCCCTTTCACTCAGGTAATCCTTACCCCTTCCCTCTAAGCCCCCAACCTCGTCTCTCTTCTACTACCCTCAGAAAGGCAAGCCCCTGCAAAACCTGGCTTTTGTCCTGGGACCTGAAAGGGCAGGGTCAAACCCTTCTCATCCTTATTCCTTCCATTTCTCCACCCCATAAAGTGCTGGTCCCCTGCTATCAGCCATTTGTATATCTATTTTTGTTTTGCAAAAATACATTTCCCCCAAAATTAAAAAAAAATTAGTGATTTTTAGCAATATGCCATCTATCCTTTTCTAGTTTCTGCTTAATGCTCTATGAAATTTCATTAACATAGTGAATACTAGTGGGAAGGGGGATATTTAAGAGTAGGTTAGATAAATGTCTATCAGGGATGGTCTAGACAGTACTGAGTCCTGCCATGAGGGGAGGGGACTGAACTCGATGACCTCTCGAGGTCCCTTCCAGTCCTAGTATTCTCTGATTCTATGAGCATCTCATTCAGCATGAGAGTTTTGCCATACTACAGTAGATCAGTGTTTCTCAGTGGTCCCTGAAACTACCTTGAGAAACCTGTTAACTAGCCGTTCTAGTGTGTTTACTTTCTGGCACCTTGGTTGAAATGGTTAAACAAAGCCAATAGGAGCTACAAGACTGTGGCTGCGGAACCAGTAAGTAAGCACACCAGAGCGGCCAGTTAACAGGTTTCTCAAAGTGGTTTCACTGACTACTTAGAGAAACATTGCAGTAGAGTAGCAAAATCTGTCAGTTTTAATTTGATTTTCTCCAGTTTGCCAGGTTACGTTTGTCTGAGATCTTGGTGCAATGATCTTCTGCACCTTTGTTTGATCACTCTCTATAAGCAAAAACCAGTTAAATCTGTTGACTTTAAAAAAAAAAAAAAAAAAGAAGCTGTTATTCGGGGACGAGTGTGTATAGGGATTCCCTTGGTCAGATGTCCCCAGATTCAATCTATTAACCTGTGCTGTCATGATGCACAGCAAACTTCAAGGAAATTTGAATAACTGCTTTAAATTTAGAGCATTTAAAAAACTCAGGCCTTAAGCAGAAATCTAGTTTGAACCTTAACAGGGCTATCAGCTATAGGAATGTTAAAATGCATGTATTTTTGTAAACGTGTTTACATGGGGGGAGGGGGAAGCTCGTGTTTGCAGGGAACCAGCTTTTAATCCAGGTCCCCTCCGAACACCAGCTCTGTCTGCCCTCTCTCCTTTCCCTCTGATAAAGAGGTGGTAGGGGCTGCATGTAACCATGTACACAGGTACGTGTTCATAGACCTAGTCAGCTGCTATAATGTGGTGCAGGAGCATTGAGGAGAAATTTATTGATTGAAGCACTTTGAGATCTGCAAAGGAAAGTGCAAAATGCTGTTCATTAGTGGGTTCTTTTAAAAGCATTTTAGACCATGTATGTGTATGTTTCTAAATTGTCTACTGTCATCAAGAGATCCTGCAGTGTAGTCATTGCTAGTTAATCTTTTCAGTTTGACTTACAATTGGTTTTAAATAGCTCATCTGGTTAACAATAAATAAGTATACATATGGAAGTGGTTTGGTATCTTGTAGGTACTTTATGTGCTTATAACTTCATATCTGCTCAATAAAAAATTGTCTTTGCAGAACAAGGACAAGGTGATATCCCTTCCTTCTACACATATGAAGAAGGGTTGTCACACTTAACTGCAGAAGGTCAAGCCACTTTGGAGAGATTAGAGGGCATGTTAGCTCAGTCTGTGAGCAGCCAGTACCACATGGCTGGAGTGCGAACAGAAGAATCAGCAAGAGAATTTGAAGGTGAGACATGCCCCTTTCCACCAAACTACATGTAGTAAAGTTTTTTGGTCCTTGCTGCATGGAACTTGCTTGTGAGAAATATTATCATAATACACGTCTGTGTGTGTTGGGGGAAAAGAAGCCGTTTTCGCGGCATAAATGGTGAGTAACAACATTATTTGAAACATTAAGAAAAATTATTTTCGTGTCTAAGTATTTCCATTACCTTTTTGTGGGTTGGTCACTGTTAAAGCTTTGTGAATGCAATCTTAGCAACCTGGAGGCAAATATTAAAATAAATTGGGGAAAGCTGTGGGCTATTAAAATGCTGCCATTTAATCTTAAAAGGATAGTACCTCTTTGCTTGTCTCTGGATCAAAAGTGTGTAGAATGTATGTGTCTGAATATAGGCTTGCATCAGTTTAGGTAAGAGTCTGAGAGTTTCTAAATACTTTTTAAAAACTATGTATCTAAGATCTTCTTTTTAAAAGTTCTGTTAAATTTTGTTCTTAGCCCATCCTTTTTCTTGCTAGGCAAAGTAATATGGAAAATTAGGTATGTGATGTGTTGCAGTAATTGACAGAGCTGAGTGTCTCTCTTTAAGCTTGAACTCTGAAATTTTTAAAACTTTTTATAGGTTAACTGTATGTGTTCCGTACGTTTTTGTTTAGATTACATTTGTATAAAAATGATTTTGTGACCTCATTTGTTCTTGTGAAATTTCCTTCATTTCTAAGTTCAGTCTGGATTTTGAACCCAAAGTTTTGGATGTTGGAAATAAAGTGGATAGTGTATGGTACAGCTTGGACCTACTCTTAGTGGGCTTAGTAGCCTTCCTTGATCTTATTGGCTATTAGCTGTTCTTGATGGGTGGGTTGGCTTGAATGATTGATCCTTGGCTGCTGATCTTCTGAATTTTTCTGAGATTTCTTGATACTCTGCAGTTAAAGGGAGTAATCCTGACTTTGCTCAACAACAGGGGTAGGCAGTAAGTTTTCTATTATATTAATGGAGGGGATATGGGGTTTCGAATGGAAGTTGGGTACAGGAGGGAGTTCTGGGTAGGGAAATGAGGTGCAGGAGGGATGTGTGAGGACTGGGGGTACAGGAGGAGATGGGGGGGGTCGTGATCTGGGGCAAGGGTGCAGGTAGGAGTACAGAAGGTTTGGGTTGTGACCTGGCCAGACAGTAGGCGTGTAGGAGGGAGTGGAGTACCATGTGCAGGCTCTGGCCAGGAGGCATTTACCATCCTCCAGCCTGGGGCAGCCTAGTAGGACTTTCAGGCAGGCTCCCTGCCTACTGCACCTCTTGCATCACTCAGTGGCCGGTTGCTGGAGTCCACGTGTGCATCTGCATGGCACACCGCTTGAGTGTGGGATTTCCATGTGCTGCATGCATCTGCAGGCATGGCCCAGGCACTGTGCAGAGATCCCCACTCTCAAGGGATGTGCTATACAGACACATGTTGGTGTCTGGTAATTTGCACAAGGGTTGCAGGGTATTGGTGGCCCAGAATATTGAGGCAGTTGGGATCTGACAGGACAGAAGTTCTCAGAACAGATGCTAGATTGGTTTTATTTGACACTAACCGACTTCATATACACCTGCAATGTTATGTTTTCTAATCATGTGTTCATCTCAATGACAGGGGTCTCGTGTTCAAATCTGTGAACCAAATATGGGATCTTGCCTTTTAAAAAAATTCTTAGAGTAAGAAACTGCAGTTTAATAATCTTGCATCTCTTTAATGTGCAATGAAGTGATGCTGAATTGTCCTACGTTTTAAATAGGAGTATAGCTAAGAGTAGGTGAACCAGCTTTGTGGAGTTTTCAAGTTTGTTTCTGTCAGCATAGCATTTGTATCTGCTGCATCACTACTCTCTGGCCAGCAGAGGGCCCTGACTTTTATGTCACAGCATTTTCAGCTTGTGAGTGCTGCAGTATATCATTGTCTTGGATTTGTTTTCAGATGGGATGGAAGTGGACACAGCACCAGTGGTTGCAGGGCAGTTTGAAGATGCAGAAGTGGATCACTGAGGAGGATGTGTGCTACTGTAAGCTTAAGACTTCAGTTTTTTCTACCTTCTATGTGAAGCTCTTCAGTTTGATGAATTGGGAATTGTCCATGTGTCCCTGTTTTAAATTACTTTGGCAACCAATGAGAGTTCTGTGAATAAATACGGGATTTTGTTTTACAGTAAACGAAAAAATATAGCAGCTTTGAAAAAAATTGTTAATCATAACTGTAGAAAGGAGTTAAACTGTAAAATGAGCAGCCAGATCAGGTTTAATTGCCATCTTATTCAGACATTGACCTTACACACTTCAAGGAAAGGTAGATTAGTCTGAGGGTAGATGTAGAGCCTTGGGTCACATGAATTGTCTGATCACACAAAGTCTCTTGGAAGCAACACGAATACTGGGCCCAAGGCTGTGAAGTTATATAGTAGGGATGTAAAATCCCCTTTAATTGGCTAACTGGTTAAACATTTTGTTTAACTGGTTAACCAGTTAGAGGGGATAAGCGGGGGTGGGGGCACTCCAGCCCAGCTGGAGCTGCCCCTTTCTGGTGTGAGCTCCCCCAGTTAACCTTAACCAGTAAACTAGTTAAACCTTCATATCCCTAGTATCCATTGTTTCCCTCCTAAGCATGCAAGATTTGCAGTGTTTTCTAGGGGGCAGAACTCTTCACTGTGGCAAGTCTTAATATAAGTGGGAAGAGGAATTCTTCCTATTGTTTTTCAAGCTTTCTAGGTGGGGGTGGTGTTGAAAGCTTTCAGCTTTGGAACAGCTCTAGAAATAAGTTTTTCCTGTTTCCCCTCTTTTGTAATGTCTGTCTTCCTGATGTTAGTGGCATAACAAGGTGTAATAGTATTTCCCAGCCACAGTGGGGGAGAAAGTTTAATTTGGGAGCAATAATTGACTTCTGACACACACAGACTTTACATTGGGCTTGTACAGCTACATAAAAGTTGCCTGCCTGCCAGCTTCAGCAGCAACTATTGAGGTAGCCAGCAACAGGCACAGCTTACATGTGCTGGCAGCAGCAAATTGATTTTAGCATCTCTGGCCTGCTCATTGCAGAAGTAAGAGCACAAAACCCTGCCTTAAAAAGCCCACCACTAGGCAGCTGCACTTCAAGCAATGTGTCACCTTCTCTGAGGAGTGGTGGGGGAGGGGAAGGGAACAACAAAACTAATAGGCTATGTCTACATTGGCATGATTTTGCGCAAGAACTCTTTTGCGGAAGAGTTCTTGTGCAAAAACTCTTCCAGAAGAGAGCGTCTACACTGGCATGTGCCTTTGCGCAGGAGATGTGCTTTTGTGTAAGAGCATCCGTGCCACTGCAGACACACTCTTGCGCAAGAAAGCTCTAATGGCCATTTTAACCATAGAGCTTTATTGCGCAAGAAATTCATGTTACCTGTCTATACTGGCCTCTTGCGCAAGAACAGTTGCACAAGAGGGCTTATTCCTGAGCGGGAGCATCATAGTTCTTGCGCAAGAAGCACTGATTTCATACATTAGAACGTCAGTGTTCTTGCGCAAGAACTCGTGGCCAGTGTAGACAGACAGCAAGTTTTGGCGCAAAAGCAACTGCTTTTGTGCAACATCGCACCAATGTAGACACAGCCATAGAAAGTTAGTGCAAAAAAAAAAAAAAACAGAAAAAGTGTCTGGAAAGGAAAAGTGAAAATGAATCAAAAATAATTGTTAGGAAACAGGTGAGCAGCTGCCCCAAGAGAGGTTGCACAAGTAGCAGGCTGGGAATCACGATGGAATACTGGTGTGAGTCTTTATATATATGGCTTTTCTCCTCCTCCTCTGCCACTGCTTATTCTTCCTGTGTCTTTATATAACTGAATCTACATTTCCTACTATCTGGGAGCTTTTGAATGACACCCTGGTCACATACTGATCCTGAGAGGATTGGCCCTGAAGTAAGCTTTCATTTGCTTTTTCTCCTTTTGCTATAAGGACTCAGCCTCCCTTATTCTTTGCCACTTAGAGGTATTTAACAGGGTGTTGGCACCATCCTGAAGCATTGAGTGGCTCAATGAGGAGCTATTACAGGTACCATGAAGATTTGTTGTTCTATCTCCAGATTCCTGGCTCTGTATCAGGGATGCCCGTGACATCTAAACCTTGAAGAGGTTTGCTCGTATTACCGTAGAGCTGTGTTTTCCCTCCAGTAGCTATCAGTCTATCTGCCACATCAAAGCGAGTTTCTTTGTGGTAGTAATATTGCGATGTTTCACTTTTTGTGAAACATTACCACTAAATGGTCACATTGTAAGCTTAGCTGGGTCAGGCTGGGTTAGAAATAAAATTGGAAGCACCTAAGGATGCCTAGGAAGTTATATTTTAGGGCTTATGGGGTTTTGGGGAGATGGTAAAATTCTGTGCAGATTTCCAAGAATCTGAGGGGAGGAGAGGGAAGAGTCATGGCCTTTTCTTCATATACTCCCATAGTGTAATTTGAAACAGTAGCACATAAAAGTGCCCTAGGGGAACTTTTAGTTTACATGGACTAAATAGTATGCAATACATATACCTGGTTAGGGATGTAAGCAACTAGTTGACTATCTGATAACCGCAAGCTTATCGAATAGTTGAGTAGTCACTTCCCTCCCCTTGTGGCCTTTATCAGAGAGAGGCAGAAAGGGGGGTAGGAACTGGTGCTGGGGGGAGCCCCGCCATGAAAAGGGGCTGCTGGACTCAGTGCGAGCTGTGACCTAGGAGTCCTGGTTTGTGCTGCTCCAGGACACTGAGCTTCTGCATTTTAAATGTGGTAAGAGCCCGGTGGCTCTTATTACATTTGAGATGCAGCGCAGGTGGCTCCCAGAGCTGGCATAAGACGGGACTGCTCAGTCCCAGATTGAGCTGGTTCCTGAAGCTACCCCCGCTGAGGGTCTGCAGAGTGGTCTTATCGACTAATTGTATAGCCAATACAATTTGAATTGACTGTATTTAGCTAGGTAACCACAATGTAACATCCTTACACCTGTCTCCCATTACTGCTCTGTGAAGACAAGCCCTGAGGTATAAGCCAGGAACTTTATAAATAAACTGCACTGGAAAAGATGAAGTCAACACAGACTAGGTAACCTAGTCTTATGTTTGTTTGGATAAACATTGATTTAATTTTTTGTATCTGTGTGTTTTTATTGGTGTTTGTCAGTTAAAAACCTAAAATCAGAAGCTTTGTGTATTGGCAACACTTTTTCTGGCAAAGCATCCTGATATGTTATAACCTCTTCAGTTGGCAGTACGCTTTCTGAGCCTATAGTGTACATACCCCAGTATGTTGTTATAGAACACTGTTAATTGGTTAGGAAGCAAAGATTAGCATATCTTAAACCATGTTGCTATGCAGTTCTTGTTCAGTGGTGGATAAAGTCTTCTGTGTATTTAGTGCTAAGTATTATGTCACTTCATAAAGCATTTGAGAGCCGTTGGTATGAAAAGCCCTGTAATGAGTGGGCCACCAGGTTGGTTTGCTGATTTTAACTCCGTTCCAAAAAAAATAATTCCCAAGTAATCACAGAATCCATGTGAAGAACAATTGGCTCTTTATTGTGTCTGCTAATCACCATGCTAGCAAATTTATGGCATGTGGGTTACTGTAATAAAGAGGAAGTTTGAGATTTTCATAGTACGCTATGGAGCAAATAATTTTAGATTTGATTCTTTTTAGTTTGCTTAACATTGCAAGCAGACTGAGCAAATAATCTGCAGGAACATCACGTCCCAGTGATCCTTTGGAAAGCAATGAACCACCATGCCTCTAAAATGGCACTCTCATGTGAAACTAATGTTGCATGTCATTGTTCATTACACAGATGAGATGTGACAGTTGCCTGGCAAAGCTCTTGAAGACTTGTTGATGATGAAAGTGTGAAATTTGTACTTGGTCTTGTCAAGAGCAGTTTTTATTTATTCAACTTGAACAAAAAGTAAACTTTTGTAAACATGTTTGTATATATTAAACTGGCAGTGGTTGGGCA